AGCAGTCAATCCGTACAGAAGAGAGAGGACGGAGGAAGGGAGTTTGGGAGCCCAGGGCAGCAGCTGTGGGAGGGTAAGCTCATGCCATGCAGGAACTAATGGAAGCTGAGGGCTAGTAGGTTTCTCAGGCAGATCGCTCTGCTGGTCTCAGGGCTGGTCAGGGCTGGAGTTGTCTCCAGTGACTAACTTCTGTTCTTCCTGGGAGTGAAGGACGGGGCCCGCCTTTACAAATGTATGTCCTGCTTTTAGGCAAATAGAGGAGGACAGAGGGCTTTTCTGGAGTCTGCTTCTTCTCAGCTGCCTTCAGTTTAAAATAATCTTTATGCTAAAGAGGCCTATTTGAGGGTGACTGTTCTGATCCTCTTCACTACGTGTATCTCTCCTCTTTGTTTGTTCATAAAGTTGATGGCAGTTTGCTGTTCTATGTGTTTGTTTGTTGCCCCTCCCCACTCACTCTAATCCCATGAGTGCAGAAATCACCCAGATGTTCTTTTTTAATAGCTTGAGTCTGTAAAGTGTGGGTGTGTGTCTCTCTCTGTGTGTGTGTGTGTGTGTGTGTGTGTTTGTGTGTGTGTGTAGATCAGGTTGGTAGGAGTGAGATGGATGATTAGGGAGAAAGATGATGCTATGACTTGAAAGATTCCAGTTCAAAAATCCTACATTCCAATAAGAAAGTTATGAAAGGTGAATGGTACTGGCTGTAATGGTGAGGATTTTAGCTGAATAGAGGAAGATGTTGCTGTTATGAGAAAGTGGGCTCAGCATTTGGGATTACTTCCAGACAACCGTGAAGATGCCAAATGTTTCATTTTCCTATTACCTTGCTCTGAGCTCATGGTTTGGCTTACCGAAATGGGAATGCACTGAACAGAATGCTAAGAAGCAATTTCTATTATTAAAAACAGGGCAAAATTGCTACCTGAGACTCACATTGGGATTAAATGGAAGGACACAAAGCTGAATAGTTATTGCTAAATGAACAAATTGGAATAGAATGCTTACCAAAATGCAGAGTACTAAACAGTAAGGAGGGTCGATGAGAATTGTGACATTTAAAATTAGACCTTGGAGTTAAGTTACTAATTTCATTCATGTAACTATTGCAATTACTCTTAAAATATATTTTTATTGATTTCAGAGAGGAAGGGAGAGAGAGAAAGAGAGAGAAACCTATCTCTATTGACCTTCCTCAGAAGGCATGTGCCCTGACCGGGAATCAAATTGTGACCTCCTGATTCACTGGTCAGTGCTCAACCCCTGAGCCACACCAGCTGGGCTAAGTATCCTATCTACTAAAAAAGAAACATGGTAATTAGCGTACAACCGCTACCCTTCCCATTGGCTAATCAGGGCGATATGCAAATTAACTGCCAGCCAAGATGGCGGCCGGCAGCCAGGCAGCTTCAAGCTAACATGGGCTTGCTTGCTTCAGTGACGGAGGTCTCCAATGTCCCCCGCCTGCCTTGCCAGCCTCTGAGCTTGCCATTTGAAACATTGTAACAAATATAGAAGCTAAACAAAATCCCAGAACCCAAACAAACCAGATACCTGCTTTCAGTAGCAGAGGCCTCAAAGCTGGAGCCAGAGCTAAAGCTGGCCCAGAATTCAAAAAAAGAAAAGAAAAATAGGAGCAGTTGGGAGCTTCAGTCACCCACCAGCCTGAAAACAGCCCTCAGCCCCTCACCCAGGCTGGCCAGGCACCCCAGTGGGGACCCCCACCCTGATCCAGGACACCCTGCAGGGCAAACCAGCCGGCCCCCCCCCGTGCACCAGGCCTCTATCCTATATAGTAAAAGGGTAATATGCCTCCCAGCACCGGGATCAGGGGAGCCACGAGGCCTCCTGGCACTGGGATCAGCAGAACAGGGGGCAGCGCCCAACCCCCCGATCACCCTGTGGCTCTGTGTGTGACAGGGGGCGGGCCACAACCTCCCTATCTGCCCTGCTCTGTTCATGACAGGGGAAGGCGCCCCAACCCCCTCATTGGCCCTGCTCTGTGCGTGACAGGGGGTGGCGCTGCAACCTTCCCATCGACCCTGCCTTGAGTGTGACAGGGGGCGGTGCCCCAACCCCCCAATCGGCCCTGCTCTGAGCCCTACCAGGGGCTGCACCTAGGGATTGGGCCTGCCCTCTGTCACCCGGGAGCAGGCCTAAGCCAGCAGGTTGTTATCTCCCGAGGCGTCCCAGACTGCGAGAGGGCACAGGCCAGGCTGAGGGACCCCCCTTCCCCCCGAGTGCACAAATTTTTGTGCACCAGGCCTCTAGTTGCAATTATAATAGTCATGTTACATTTTTATTTCAAATAGAAAGAGTTACCATCAGCCTGATTAAAATGAGAATCACACACACATACTATCATATGAACATTATTAACAAATTTATGCCAATGAGAAAGGAGGACATTTTTTTGAAAAGCAGCTTGATTTGAAAACCTCTTTGGGGCTTCTGAAGGCTGCCTCTCAAGGGGATCCTAGGACTTTCCTCAGTCCATGAGCCCTGAGAACTTTACAGAATTTCTCATGCTGCACATTTTAAGGACAAAAGATTGAGTCTCTAACTCTGCCCTGAAGTGCTTGCCTGCCCTGTGGGGGACTTGTTGCTAGAACATGCTCATACAAACACTCAAACATGCTCGTTTGCAGTGTCTTCCCCACAACCCTATTCTTAATGCTCACTGTTCCACCTCCCTCTCCCAGACACATTAGCAGCGCAAGCTCTGCGTGGCCTCACTAGAGTGGATCTACAGCACAGCTTAGCTGTCACCCAACTGGCTTCCCCCTCGTACCTCCAGGTCTGTGGGTGGAAAAGGAAATCCGATGCCTGCTGGGGTAATTTAAGAAATGACTATGGAAGACTTTCCTCCATAATATGCGTTTCCAGCGGCTGGGGCCAGCAGAGAATCAGCTGCTTTGTTTAGCTACATATATCACTTAATGTACCAAGTACAGTGCAGGGACGCATCCAGTTTTAGAAAAACGAAACAGGTACAGTGTAGATGCTGGGGTTCGTGTAGTTGTTTGAGAGAGACTGCTTGGCTTCAATAGGAATGTGCTTTTAGAAAGTACTTAGGATGGTCATTTAGATGGAACCACAGCAAGAATATTATTATAAAATAAATGACTACATATCAACACCCAAGTCATTTATTTCTTTTAAATGAACTTTTTGTGAGTCACGGTGACTCATTGTCTACAGTTTCCATGGTCTCTGACCGTTTAGAATCGCACTTCTTTCTCTGCTCTCTACAATAAATTCAATGGCAGATGTGAGGCTTATCTTCGTGGCCTCTTACCTAATCTGACAAGGCTGCATTTCCCTTAAAAGCAATGCATTGCGATGGCCATTCTGTTTCCAGGTGAGAGAAAACAGTTCCAAGACGTGCTCAGCTGAGAAGCTTGTGGATGTTTCTGAGGGCCCACTGTCTTCTCCACCATTCGGCGCGTCTCCGATCCCATCATGTACCTTGTCCAGGGCTCTCTGACTAATTTGTCCTTCCTCACGTGGGAGCTGGGAGGCTCACGAGCCTCTCTCTGGCTCCTGAGGTCAGCAGATCTCCCATCATTATCTCTGAGGCTGAGTCACAACGTTGAGCTTTGTTTGCTCTCATGTGGCTTTGCAGCCACATCCTCCTGGCCTGAGGCCCCGCCTCCAGCATGGGGACTGTAGCTGCCTCCTTCTGGGCTCACTTGTGCACTTCCCCCTCTGCTTCTGTCTCACGCAGCCCTGGGGGTCAGACCCCAGCAGCCTGTCCTCCTGTCAGGCCCCTCCCCCCAGGACCTAGGACACTCACTGACTCCTTCAGGACAGTGCCTGGCACATAGGAGCTGCTCCATAAATGCCTGCTCCATGGCACTGACCTGCACGGAACCTCATTTCTGGCTCATTTGTATACCCCTGGAGTTCTTCTCCTTCAAACCCCTTCAGATTATATGATATTTACTAACTACAGAGCTGTTGTTAAATAAAAACCTTGGGGGATGAAAGTTTTTCTGAAATAAAGGGTTTGCTGAGCTGTATTCTAGCCAGAAAAAGGCCCAAGTCCTGGAGCACGCAGCCTGAGCCACCAGTGGTGGGTGGCCGGGAAGATGAGCGGGTGTGTCCTGGGATTCATGGCCTCATATACAGTGAGCGTGGAGAGGACGATGTCACTTATTTGGAAAGAACTTACTTTGGCTACAGATAAAGGGGGTGGGAGAACGGAAGTGGGGCGCAGAGTCCTCTGGATTGGTGTGTGCGGGTGCGATGGAGTCTGGTCATTGCCGTTCTCGCTAGATAAGAGCCGAAATAGTCACCAAGGTTGACCCAAAGTTTAGCACATTCAGGAATGTGAGCCACTTTAGCTGGGTTGGCCCGAGGCTGTTAACTGATTAGCCTCTTACCCAGGGGTGGGCAAACTTTTTGACTCGAGGGCCACAATGGGTTCTTAAACTGGACTGGAGGGCCGGAACAAAAGCATGGATGGAGTGTTTGTGTGAACTAATATAAATTCAAAGTAAACATCATTACATAAAAGGGTAAGGTCTTTTTTTTCAATAGTTTTATTCATTTCAAACTGGCCGAATCCGGCCCGTGGGCCGTAGTTTGCCCACCGCTGCTACCTCTCTCTCCCACCCTACGCTGCTGCTGCTGCTGCTGCTGCTGCGATTGATTCATGACATCTGCGGGTCTCTCTCTTGTCACGGGGAGGGACACTCCGAGGACCACGTGTCCTCGAATCCCTTCTGACTCACTCGGAGGCCCTTGCTTGGTGGCAGTGGGACCTGGGCCATCCCCATGAGCACAACCTCCGGGAGAGTCCATTTCAGGGAACCGCATCCCTGACACGGAATCTGAACCAAACATAAAAACAAACAGAAACTAAAGCAACGAGCGCATCGTCATGTCCATCGCGCACGTTAGGAGGCAAGCCCCGCGACAGCACGGGAGCCTGAGGGGCAGGGCCGTCCTCTGGGGCACCTGCAGGGCTGGGCTGGGCGGGCCTGGCCGCCATGTGATCGCTCTCTCCCTGTCCTCGCAGGGAAGCCATCAGCCGCGTGTGTGAAGCCGTCCCGGGCGCCAAGGGAGCCTTCAGGAAGAGAAAGGTACTGTCCTCTCAGCGCTGCGTCTGCCCGCCTCTCCCTCCTCTGTCCGCTCGCAGCTCCCTCACACATGGCTCAGGCCTCTCTTCCCAGGGCCTAGCGCTTGGCACTGTTTTTGTTTGTTTGTTTTTTTGCCCAGGGAGAACCAAAAGGCGCCCCTGTTGGAAGGGCTCTTGTCATTTTAAAAACAGAAAGAGCTTTGGTCCCCTCTCTGCCATGTGGTTGAGGAGATCAGTTAGCTGCTGCTGCCAACCCAGACGCCACACCCTGGTTCCCCGCTGTGGCCTCAGCGTACAGACAAGGTTGGCAACAGCCACGTAGAACAGCCCGCCTTCTCCCAAGCTTCGGTCACCCATTCACTCCATGGGCACAGCTCTCGTGGCAGACCCCTCAGCGCTGGGCTGGCGCAAGTTTAACAACATCTCTCAGGCCCGGGGGACCGAGAAGCACCAAGTTGGTGCGTTGCCAGTTTTTGTGGCCATTTTCAAGCTCTAACATGACACCCTAAAAGGGAGCTGGGAAGAGGGATGCAGACACCATTATACAGTGTCCACACAGTTCACACAGGCACACCGGACGCAGACAACCTGAACTGCAGGGGTAACAGCTGATGCAGCAAAAAGTAGGAAGCGATAAGTTTTGAGTATTTATTGTTTTTTAAATGTAATGTGTTTAATTGCAAGCTTACATAATTAATTTTTAATAGCAGCTGTTTTTAATGGCCAGCTCATAATATTCCTAAACATTTGATCATTGTTGCTCATTAGCTAGCATGAGCGGCTCTAGAACGCCGCTGCATGTCCCCATTATACAGAGATAAAAACTTAGGCACCGAGAGGAGAGCCCATGAGGCCAGCAGGTGGCGGAGCCAAGCTCCAGCCCGACTACTTGGCTCTAGGGGCTGTGTGTTCAACCCCTGTACTCGATCTTTTCATCTTGAGGTGTTTGGACCAAAAGAAAAAACCAGCTGGATTAAGAGAAAGCTCAGAAAAACTCTGAACTTAGTGCCTAGTAAACACAGAAGTAAATACCCACCATCAGGACCTGTCTGCACCTGGCCTGAATGTGGGGGCGCCCCTCTGTGTATCTCTGAGCCTGTCCTGATGAGGGCGGGGGGGGGCGGGGCAGGCTGGTGGTTGCCTCTGCTGCTACCTGGGCTGTGAGTTGTTTGTGTCTGTGTAGCTTGGGGACATTGGTGACCAAAAGGGCAACTGAGTGTCAGAGACAGAACTTTGGATGAAGGCTCAGATGTGCTGGCCTGTGTTCTGGTCATCCCACAGGGGACATGGGAAGCAAGATGCCCCCAGAATCTTGAATATGGGAACTAGGAGAGTGTCTGAGAACAGAGCCAGCTGGCGCCTGAGCTGCAAATCTTGGGGTCCCTCCTGGTTCTCTGGGTGCAGGTGATGGAAACAAAGCTGACTTCTAGGCTCCGCGCCAGGCACTGAATCAGGGCCCGGCAGCTCTGCCTTTCACTCGCTCAGGCAGGGGATTCACATGTGGGGCCAGCCTGGTTAAGAACTAGGTTGGTTGGGATATCGAAGGGGGTGAGCTCTAATCTGAAGAGGAAGGTTGGGGGGTTAGCAATGGACAAGTGTTGGTAGTCCCCACGCAGGGTATCCAGGAAGAGGTGCCTGGCTGAAGCATGCAGCCGCGGTCCCTGTGCCAAGAGCAATTATGGTCTGATGGGTACACCTGTTAGAGCCGAAAGGAGCCTGTCACTCCTCCGTGGTGCCCCAGACCCGTGTGTTCTGACTGGACCAGAGGATGTGCCGGCCAGAGCACTCATGCTCCAGTCCTCCAGCAATGAGCACTCTCACGGCTCAATGGGATTGCTCATGACCCCCGAGTGGACCCACTTATTCTGGCCTGACTAACATGGCTCCTGGTGGATGAAGCTGGTTTCTGAGTGCAAAGCTGCAGGCCCTGGCCTGTGGCCCTTCCCAGGCTTCCAAGTCACTCTCTCAGACGCATCCCAACAGGAGCTGCCCGGGACCCTGACCCTGCCTTCCCCTCATCTCAGTGTGTGCATAGATGTCCATAATCCCCACACTGCGCATTCTGGAACCTTTGTGTTAGTGTCAGACCCCCCGCCGCCCCCGCCAGCTTATTCGAAGCACAATTTTCTTCACGTGCCTAATGAGGTGGGTAGATGGAGGTTTGGGGTGTGGCAAATAGAAACAACAGAGAGGCCCCAGTAGTGCGGCCTCCAGTCACTCAAATCGAAACTAATGCTGCTTGATTTCACAGCCTCCAAGCAAAATGCTGTCCAGCATCTTGGGCAAGAGCAACCTCCAGTTCGCCGGGATGAGCATCTCCCTCACCATATCCACTGCCAGCCTGAACCTGCGGACGTCCGACTCAAAACAGGTCTGTTGGGGGGCTCAGGCCCCTGCCCTGCTCAGGGACCCCACACAATGGGTGTTTCACAGGCTCCCCACTTCCAGCTTTACCAGGTCTGTGTGGTGCACATTGTGTAAAACCTTCACATGCTTCAAACTTTGATTGGCTACTCACCAACAGGGTGATAGATGGCATTGGCTCTTTAATTCTTTCGTAACTCACCTCTGCTTGAGGATAGTGCACGAAGCCATTGATTTACTTACAATGTAGAAAGGAGGTGTGGGTATGTGCAAACATCTCCTCTTAATGTCCTTGCCCCATTTTGTTTTCTCTTACACCATATTCCACTGGTTCCACAGCACACATTTTATTATCTATACGAATAAAAAGGTCATATGCTAATTAGACTGGGTCAACTGGACATCTTCTGGTTGTCCGGTCCTCCTTCCAGACAAAGCCTCAGTGGCGGGGGCCAAGGCAGAGGTAGTTAGGGGCGATCAGGCAGGCAGGGGAGGGTGGTTAGGGGTGATCAGGTTGGCAGGGGAGGGTGGTTAGGGATGATCAGGCAGGCAGGCAGGTGAGTGGTTAGGAGCCAGCAGTCCTGGATTGCAAGAGGGATGTCCCCTGAGGGGTCCCGGATTGGAGAGGGTGCAGGCCAGTCTGAGAGACCTCCCCACCCCATGCATGAATTTTGTGCACCGGGCCTCTAGTCTGAAATGAATGGCATGTTGTGGTTTGAAATTATTTTTTTTTTCTTAGCCAGTCATTATTTTGGAGCCTCTCACATTTGGAAGGCAGCTATGCTCACCACTATACCACCAACGCAACTTTGGAGCCTCTCACATTTGATAGTGTCTAAGGGTTCACGTGATATGGTGTATTCATGTCTTCCCAGTGTGCAAGGAGTGTGCTGCTGATGGAGGCAGCACAGCAGGGATGTTTATGGAGGCGAATTCTGTTCAGGATGGCTGCATTTCTCTGCAGAGTTTCTTTCAGGTTCCTCGAGTCCTTAGTTCCTTCAGCTAGAAAAATGGTTATAGGATATCATTACACGACCTGCTTGGTCATTCCCTGAAGATCTTAGTGTCAATGTTGCTGGTGGAAATGAGGTACTTGCGGTGACTTGAGAAAAACCGTTCAGTGATCAAACATTGGGAGGATGAGGTATTGGGGTAGGAATAAGGCTGCCCCAGGTTCCCGGTGCTCCCCTCCACCGGGCCCACTGTGGAAGAAGTCCAGCCTTGTCTGCCGCAAGCCCAGAAGCAAGGCCAGGGCCCAGCAACTGCGGCATTGGTCCCGTCCATGCAAAGCTTAGCCCAGCTCAGTCTCTGTCCCCATTCAACTGGCCAAGTCTCCTCGCCGGGGTCACCCCAGCTAGTGGCACTGCAGCTGGTCGCACTGCAGCTGGTCAAACCCGCAGCTGGTCTCACTGCAGCCGCGCTGTGCTGGCGCCCTCAGGCTTGCCCTGAGGCTGTCCTTGGAGCCCTGATGCTGCTGGGCCCGCATGGCTGCTGCTTGCAAACGGACAGGCGAATGAATGCACCTTCCTGAGCAGGAGGCCTTGGTTAAGCTTGATTAGATCACCTGGGCTTGGGAAGGGGCCAGTCCTCTTCTAAGCTAACCAGTCAATAGCCCAATCCTCCCAGGCTTGCGCTGGGCCCTCTCCACAACCAATCACTTTCCTAGATCTTCTGGGTTCTGTTCCCTTATCCAATCCGATCCTTTTCCCAGGCTTGGCTCCACCCCTCATGGCCACCATCTTAGTTCCTACTGTGCATGCCTCACAGTACACGCTCCTCCTCCTGTGCCCGCTTGGCTTCTGCTGGGTGTGCGCTGAGCAAAGTGCTTTCTCCTTTACTGTTTTCTCTCTTTAATCCTGGATAGCGGCTGTCTGTTGTGGGGTGGGGAAGCCTGCTTCAGGGGGTTAAGTCCCCTGGGGAGCTGGGAATGTTACGTTGTCCTAGTAAGTGAGGTTTAATGTCTGACTCAGCTCCCTGTTGATGAGGCTTAATACCTTATTTCCTTTGGTCCCTTCCTTTGTTAATACTAACTAGTGACCGGTGCATGGTTTCGTGCACATTGAAAGGAAATTAGAAGGTGGCTGGCAGGGCAAGACTGGGTGAGGCAGGCCAGACATGCCCTGGAGCCAACCTCCTGCAGTCCCTCCCTGGCATCTGCAGAGTGAGCGGGGTCCCTCTGGCAGGTGGGGTCCCTTGGCATGGCCTGCAGAGATCGGGCCTAAACCAGCTCTCCAACATCCCGGATTGCAAGAGGGTGCAGGCCAGGCTGAGGGACCCCACTGGTGCATGATCAGGGCTGGGGAGGGCCTGTGGGAGGGCTCCAGGACAAGTCCCGATCAGCCGGACCCCAGCAGCAAGCTAACCTACCAGTCAGAGCACCTGCCCACTGGTGGTCAGTGCACGTCATAGAGACTGGTTGAATGGTCAAACGGTCAGACATTTAGTATATTAGGCTTTTATTATATAGGACTAGCCACCTATACTAACATCAAGGCTGTCTGTATTTGGCCTGATTTAGAGCTTGCCAAGGGAAAAATGCCTCTTCCCCAGGGAAGTCTACAGAAAAAAATGAGAGGGACTGTTTAACATCATGGCTCAAATGTGTATGTATACGAGTAGCCGCCCTGTATACCAGCAGGTGGAAATGCTGCGAACCATGAGTCCCCTCACCTGCTGTGCTCAGCCTGGGCCCCGTGCTGCCAGTGTGAGCTGGAACCCAGGTGCTCCACACTGCAGACGATGGGTCGCCCCAGACTATGGGGACCATGGCAGCGGGGCACCAGGATGCCTAGGGCACCTTTAGGTCGCTGCACACATTCTTACGTATGAATTTTCAAATTCCCCAGGTAAGCAAGCAGCATCTCCAGCTCCATATTTTTCTCCACCCTACATACCCCACCGAGATGTTGAAATAAATTCTAGATCCAGATTAGAAGCCAGAGGCAATGTCTGGGCCTTGTTTTGACACAGTGGGTGCCGCTTCTCACTCTATTCCTGGAGTGCTGGATGAGCCTTTTCTTTTCTCATAGGCACTTCTGGGGATGGGTGAACCTTCATTTAAGTGGATTAAGTAGCTTGAACAGGCTCAGACTCTTTCTGGAGCTGCCTCCAGGCTGAGCATCCACTGTGGCTAATGAGGGTTGGTCCCCTCAGCTCTGCTCTCAGATGCCCACATCCGATCTTATCCCATGTGGCTGTTGCACCTTTTGTTTTTACAAACCCTGGGCCTCAATTCTGCGGGATCTCACCTCCTAATTCTCCTTTTACTTAATTCCCCACCTCACAATACAGAGAAGCAAACTCAGAGCAGAAAGCACACGGCATGGTTGGCTCTCCATCCTGGTAGAGGGGCTGGTTGGGTGTGCTGGCTCTCATTGGCCTCCCTTGGTTTAGGTGGGTGGGAGTGAGTCCTGAGGGATGCTGGCACAGACTTCAGGAGCATGAGCTGAGGAAGGTCTGATGGGAGCCAAAGCTTGCATCCCTCTGGCTCTCCCTCCGGCCAAGTTCAGGGCCCAGCTGGAGCAAACTGAGAGCAAGCTGAGAGGACACTCACTCCCAATGCAGAGAGAGCAGGAGGCAGTGCCCGCTCCCCTCTGCAGAGCTCTCAAGGAGAAGAAAAAGATGGAACAGCCTTAGAGCAACAATACATGCTTTCAGTTAGTTAGCTCTCCTCTTCAATCCTCTTAGCCAACGGGATAGCATACACTCACACATAATGGTCATGCACTGTGCTGACCAAATATGATTTCCATTTTCCCCCTCAATCTTAATGTTCACTTTGATTTCCAAACCCCAGTTTTAGCACTGCTTTAAGAAGATTAAGTTAGTAAAAGTTAAATAAGCAAAATGTAATTTTAGAAGTTGTAGCTTTATCATCATTTGGGGGCTACTGTGTCCTCATTGCTCCCCGGAGCCCTCCACCCCTGGACTCGAGGCAGGATTCTGGAGGGCTGTAAAAGCCAACTAGTAGTTTGATCCCCCTGGGCTTGGGCACAGGCTACAGAGCTGGACTCATGTTTTTATTCGTTTACAGTTTACCTTTGAACAATGCCTGGGTTAGGGGAGCCGCCCCTGTGCAGTCAAAAATCTGTGATTAACTTTTACTCTCCCTCAAATGTAACCACTATATGCTCCAGTTTTTCTAGATTCTGAGTAGTATTGCATGTCCTGAAAACTGAAGTAGGCATTTAAAAATATTTTATCTTACACTTCATTTATGGTTCTGCTTCGGTTTTACAGGAGCATGGCTGGAAAAATCCCAGGATGGTAGGATTACAGCTCTGTAAGCTCTGACTGCCCGCCTGACAGGGTCTGAGAGGCCCAGCAGAAATAAACCTGATTATGATGGGAGGGAGGACTGTTCCCACCCCCAGAAATTTACTTCAATGTCATTACATTGTCTTTAAAAAGATAAAAGTAGCGTGGAAGACTTATATTTTAAATTTAGTGCAGCTTCTAATTTACTCAGCGTCTGCTAAATTCCACTGTACCCTGCAGTCTATAATGCTAATGGAAATTTCCCATTTAAAGATGAACTTGAAATGTCTTTGCTGGCTCTTAAATTAATAAATTACAAGAGTGCCTGAAAGGGCGCCAATTTTGATCTTGGATGAGGACTTTGCAATGTATGCGCACATGATGTAAATGGGCTGAGTTGGGGCAGACACACTTCCCTCCACTCCAGCTACGAGTCTATACTGCGGACCCCGCGTGTCCTCGGACACTGACGCTGCACAGCTGAACGTTTTGGTGTGTGGGTGGGACATTTTCCTTCTCAAAGAGGCATGGTCGCGAAGACCCTCTGTGTTCGGCCATGGCCCTGACAATTACTGGCTGTGGTACTTTGAGAAACCACTTGGCCGCTCTGGGCCGCAGGCTCCCCATCTGTGAAATGGGCTCCAATAGCTCGTACATTACAGGGCTACCGTGGAGCTTATAAGAGCTCACTTTGGCAAAGCGGCTAGATGAGCAGCGGGCACGCTGCGCTATTACTTTTCTGGTAGTTATGTTCATTGGGGACCAGTGTCACCGAGTTTTGGGAAGCCTTGTTGAATCGTACTGCCCGTCAACGGTTGGTTTCCCAAGACATGGGAAGAGCACTAATGGCATGTCTCGTTTCTTGTCTTGGGCCTGACAGATTATAGCGAATCACCACATGCAGTCCATCTCCTTCGCCTCTGGGGGTGACCCGGTAAGTGCCCTTGGCGTTGTTTTCTCTCCTTCTTGCTGGGAGTGGCTGGGAAGGGGCCCTACTTCTGAGGTGCACTTCTTGGGGTGCTATCAAGAAAGAGTAAACTTTCACTTCATTAGCCAAGCACCGTTGACAACCCCCGAGGCACTGGTTTTCTTACCAGTAAGAGGTAACGAGAGTCGCCACGTGTCAGCCTCCCCATTGTCTGCCCTGCTTGGTTCCTGTTTCTCCACTGGGCCTCCAACAGCTCCTCTGTTTTTAAATATAAGTCCACTCGAAGGCTATGAATTTACTTAGTCTAGTTCAGGGGTGGGCAACCTTTTTGTGAGTGCGTGCCAAAACCAGCAAAATCTCTGACTCAAAATTCTTCTGCGTGCCAACCCTAATTTTTTGAGAACATGTTATGCCTGCTTGATATCTCTTAAGGTGTACGTATGTGAAAAACCTCGAAGAAATAATAAAATTCATTCAAGCAACAAAAACACAGTATATGTTCAGTTTTCAAGAAAACAAGATATACAGAAGCAAAGTCTGGCTCATATACAGAGGGGAAAAACACAATCAGAGAAGCTGAGGTTTGAGCAGGTCTGACCACTGGGGTTTGGAGGAAGAGAGCTCGGCCTCCTCAGGCATGTCCATGGTCTTTAAGATAACTTGTTATGTAAAATTATTTATTTATCTAAGATGCATCTACACTGAATTTATCTAAAAAATAAAAAAGTCGATATTAAGAAAAGGAAATTGTAAATGGAAGATTATAAGAGAGTTACTGGCGTGCCATGTTTGGCATGCGTGCCAGGGGTTGCCCACCCCTGGTCTAGGTTGTTCATAAATATTTGAAATTGGCATTTTTCTCTCCAAATCTAACACTGTAGCCTCTTAATGGTTTATTTAGCCAACAGGGAAGGAGTTGCAGAGACTAAGAGGGAGACAGGATAAAATGGGAATGTTCTGTTTTTACGTCACTAATTTTATGAAGAAGGTGCAATAACAAGGGGTTTGCTCCCCACATGTGGTCAGGAATGTGACGTCCGGTGTTAGCGGTCACTCTCAGTGTCAGGAGAGGCAGGACGCAGGGCCACACCTGCACACTCACTGCTGTCACCATTCACCGCGGACCGCCCAGCCCTTTGAAGAAGCCCAGGCAGGAATGGGCCATGAGGGAGGAGGTGCAGAGGGAGCCGGTAGAAAACACACACAGCCCTGCCAGCAGTGAGCGGAGAAAGGCTCCCCAAATGTTCTCACTTACTTTTCATTGGTCTGCTTAAAGTTATCACCCGAGGGAAACATCTAAAAATTAGGACAAAAGAGTGAGTTTTTCTTGGAGCTAAGTTTAATCAATTAAATTGTTCAATATCCTGGGAAGATGTCCTTTTGCTGTTAAAAATTTTTTTATAATAAAAGAATGGTGGCTAATAGTGGTATTTTTGCTATAATTGTTGTTTTGTACTATTTTGTCCAATTATCAGTAGGCAATGCTCGGATTTTAAATAAAATTTACTGGCCCAAGGTCGCCTGAGTAATTGGTGGATATATTACTCCTGTCCCAAGGCAGGGAATTCTTCCCACGCCCATGTTTACCGTACAGCCCTGGCCTCCCAGCCCCTTCCCCTGGGCAGCCTGACTGCTGAACTGCTGTTGGCACATGGACAGCTGAAGTGAGGGAGTGCTTTCCACTGCTGGCTCCAGTCTCTGTGTCTCCAAAGGGCATGTGATCACGGTGGAGTGTCTTCCTACAGGGGAACCAGCACCCCCCCACCCCCAGCTCCTGCAGCCCCCGGGGGCATCACACATGCATTAGCCCAGCATTGCTTTATGTTTCACTATAAAGTATATTTAGAAGGTGGACATATTCCATAGTTGAACCCACCATTGGTGCACTCTTGAGGGTTATGCCCGAGGTGCATGCGCACCTGCTCTCTGCCTGCACGGCCGGCCCGCATCCGCACTGATGCCTGCACCTGTGCTGTGTCTGGCTCTACTGAACTGCCAGTGGCCTTCTACTGGGTTGCCCCATGTGATGCTTGGAACCATAGCTTCTTAAATTTGGCAGTTGACCCAATTTGAAAAATAAAAGGCAGAAACGCTGCCACCTGCACTGACAGTCCTCTCCGGAGCCTGTCTCAGTCCTCATCCCGTGATGATGGAGGCGCAGAGACCTAGCAACCAGGAAGCCAAACAAATTGTCCTGTGTGGGAACCAGTGTATCCCTAGGGTGCACACGGGCCTGTGAGCTTTCCTCAGCTTCCCCATCTCTTCTTCCTCAGAAAGGGAAGCCTTCAGGGACCCTTAAAGTAATTCATACGCTTTTATGTTCTTGCTGATTTTTTCTCAGACAGACAGAGAGAAACATCTATCAGAAAAAATCAGCAAGAACATAAAAGCGTATGAATTACTTTCCGCTTACCCTGTAACCAGTCCAAGTATACAGCACATTATCCATGAATGCCATACCAACTTGGTTGATAGTTATTACACTTGGTGGGTGTTTTAAATAAACCCAAAAGTTCTAGGTTCTAGTCATTGTTCTGTTGCCACGTGTATATCTACTAATTGCTCTGTGCCTCAGTTTACAGGGTTAGAAAATAATATTTTGAAATGTCAAATAAGACAGATTGGAAAACACTGTTAATCCCTCCAAGAAAAAAGGGCACACATGCATTATAATCTACATGATTAGCAGTGTTAAAAGACCATGAAAGAATGAATACCGGCCAGGCTCATAGAGTCTTGGCGAGTGAGAGCAGAGATGGTAAACACCGAACACGTGCTGGGCCCACCTCTGAGACTCCATGTGCTCATGGTGTGATGTCAGGAACACTGTTTTGAACAGTCATACACCCCCCGCTGTGCTACAAAAATAGTATTGGATCAGGAAAGCTATGTCCTGGCTTGACCACTGGCCATTGGAGTGACAGGGACACCTCACATCTGAGTAGACTTTCTCAGGTTGGAATAAGAATTTCAAAAGAAGAATTTTCTTGTGTATTCCATTAGTGTTGACTCAAATTGAGTTTGTTTCCCAAGTATGTACAAAAATAAAATATAGACTCCCATGCTATACTTTTTATTTCTTGTTAATCCTCACCTGAGGGTATTTTTCCATTGATTTTCAGAGAGAGAGAGAGCGCAAGGGAGGGGGACAGACAGAGAGAGAAACATTGATGTGAGAGAGACATATTGATTGGTTGCCTCCTGCACACGACCAGCCAGGGCTGGGATCTAGCCTGCAACTGAGGTACATGCTCTTGACAGGGAATCAAACCCGGTCCCTTTAGTCCACAGGCTGATGTTCTATCCATTGAGCCAACCTGGCGAGTGCAATGTTATACTTTTTATTGAACTGCAAACCCCAATCAAACTGGGGAGATTACTAACAAACACAGGAAAAGCCAATAGCGTTAATTTACTGTGATGGATAATGTTTTGCTGACACGAAGTCTCTGCTCTCAGCGTGAAGCCAGACTGGCCACCATGGTCCCTCAGAATCTTGAGGTCGGCATCTCTCCTCAGTGCCAGAGACTCAGTTCTCCCACTAATTTCTTCTACTCAAGCAAACTGTTACTGGGACATCCTTGTGTATAAATGTGACAGTAATTTGCTTCAGGTGGGGCAAAGGCATCTAGTCTTTATGATTAGATGATGCCCTTTTCTACCTAATTTTTTTAAGAATGTGGTACCCATAATGTTGGAAACCCAACTAAAAATCTTGGCACTAAAACTGCATGCCGCACATGATGCCCCGTGGCCATCCAGATGATCCCGAGTATTCTTATATTAACTTGACGGTTATCATGGGAATGAAAATACAAAATTAAAGGAAATTCTGGTGACGTCTCAAATGCAGGGGGAGATACCTGCCCAGTCCTAGGTTTCGTGGATCTCAGTTTGAGAAACATGAGTGTTCCCTGAGGAACCTCCTGACAGTGACTCTCCTGGATCCAGGAACAGGGTCTCTGATTGCAAGCGACAAGCCTTATTTTTGCCAATGGTTTCAGAGTCTTACCAGGTCTTCCTAATGGAAATGACCGGAAGCAGGTGGACTGGTTTGACTGTCTTACTCCCTTCCCCAGGTCAGTCTGTGAATATACCAGTGGCCAGTGCTCTGAGTGGGAAGAGCAAACGGCTTAGCTGGGCTGCACACTGGAGAAGGGCCCTGGTGTCACAACCCATTGCTGAGGGAGCACTTCTCCCCTGTGTGGTCGTACTGTGTCATTGTGAGCTCTGGGGCAAGGGTATGTGGCAATGCCTTTACCACCCACCACCCTGCAGGGGGTGCTCCATAGCCTTGTACGCCCACCCGCAGGCATGCTCCCTCTGTCCCTCCCTCACTGAGGGTTTCCGGGAGACCCATGGAAAGAGAAGGACCTAACAGTGAAGGTGCTCACCACAGACTCTCCCAGCTGCTAACACCAGGGCCCTGAGCCATGCCATGCAGCTCTGCGGAGCAGGAGCCCTGGGGAGCTGTTTGCACCAATGGTGGGAGCTGTCTGCACCAATGGTGGAAGCTGTCTGTCTGCACCAATGGTGGGAGCTGTCTGTCTGCACCGATAGTGGGAGCTGTCTGCACCGATGGTGGGAGCTGTCTGTCTGCACCAATGGTGAGAGCTGTCTCCTCTGCTTGCATGAAATGAGAGAATTATTGGTCCCTGTGACTGTTTAGAAACTGAAATCCACGTGGCCACCTGGGCCCACTGTTGAGGCTGTAGAGTCTGTGCCCTGCTTAAATGGGAGGTAGGCAAGGAGGCACAGGTTTCATGCATAGGGATCTAGCTCATATATTCGAAACAATTAAAATGACTACTTATAGAGAGAGCCAAGATGGTGGCATAGGTAAGCACCTATACTTGCTGCCTCTCACAACCATATCAAAATAACAACTAAAAGGCAGAACAATTACCACCCAGAACCACAGGAAGGCTGGCTGAGTGGAAGTTCCACAACTAGAGAGGTGAAGAAAGCGCATTGAGACTGGTAAGAGGTGTGGAGGCACGGAAAGTGCTGGCACCTGGATGTGCTGCTTTTTAAATCGGGAGGGAGATACAAGCTCCCACTTGCTCTGAACTCCAGTTCCGGGCGAGACTCTGAGGGACTCAGACAGGGAGAAACTGGACTGTCTGGCATCAGGACAGGAACGCAAGGGCGGCTTTCTCTCAGAGGTGCTCAAAGCGATCGTTGTTCCTATACAGAAGCACAGGACGCAGAGACCTGGGACCTCTCCAGTGCAGGGTTGACTGGCAGCCATTGCTCTTTGCTCTGCCCTGGTGATTACCAGAGACCCTGCCCCACCAATTTACAACCCCACTCAAGCTGTTCGCATCGGCTTTTGCATATGAATGGCCTGTCCTTACTCTGCCTAAAACCTGTCAAACTCCAGCTGGGTCAGAGAGCCCCAGAGCTTCCAAAAGAGGCCAAGGCCTGGCAGCAACAGCCTGCCTTGCTTCCCAGCTGGGCACTTCTAAACCCCATACAAAGAGGGGGAATCTGCAGATGTCTCTGTAGCTCCTGCTGGGTGGCCCCAGACAGCGGCTGAACTTGCACCTCCTTGGAGATCCAAGAGCCAGTGTACCCAGTGGTCAGAGTGAGACCATACCGGATTACAACTCTTCACATCCATAAGAGACACACTCAAGGGGCAGACTCAGTGAGCACCAAAGCCCCACTAAGCAAGTCCTGCTCCATAAGGGTGTCTCCTGTGCAACAGATCTTCTAGTATAGACACAGCTGGTCACCACAGCCAATTGATCTGGAGGTCATTTCCTCCTAGTGATACCAACAGCAATCAAGGGTTAACTACAACAAGACTGTGCAAACAGCCCACAAAGGGGTACACCAAGAGCATCCACCTCAGGTGACTGGGCCCTATAGGACACCTACCACACAAGGCCACTCTATCAACTCAAGGAGACTCAGCAGCTACCCAGTACATAGAAACAAACACAGGGAAGCAGCCAAAATGTGGAGACAAAGAAACAAGTCACAAATGAAAGAAATGGATGGAAGCAAAATACTGCATATAGAGTTAAAAAAAACCCACAGTTATAAGGTTACTCAAGAATCTTCTAGAAACCTCCAAGAAATTTAGTGAGACCCTCAAGGATATGAAAAAGGACCAATCAGAAATTAAGCATACGCTGACTGAAATAAAAAATTAAAAAAAGAGATTCAACAACAGACTAGAGGAACCCAGAATCAAGTAAAAGATTTGAAATATGAAGGAGCAAAAAACACCCAACCGGAAAAGCAAAAAGAAAAAAGAATCCAAAAATACAAAGATAGTGTAAGGAGCCTCTGGGACAACTTCAAGTGTATCAACATCCGAATTATGGGGGTGCCAGAA